AGGTGTATGGAAGAAGTACTTGCTGTAGTTTTAGAATCTGTATATATTATGAATGGCCTACCAAAGAACCTACAAAATACATGTCACATTTTGAATACATGTTAATTACTATACTGATTAGAGGTCTATGGAAGAAATGCTAGAATTTCATTGAAACTGCAGTATCCTAAAACACCATGGAAGCTTGGCATTATTTATGTAGTGGGGTGACTCAAAGGCAGGGGAATTGAATCAAACGATTTCTAAAAATCTAGATACGTACTTTCATAAACACCTGGGGAATTAGTGTTCTGCTTCTGTATAGCAGCTAATAAAAGCAAATACTGACCAACCAGATGCGCATTACTTTGCCAGAGTTGAAAGCTGTAAAGTCTTCTAACATGACATGGCGTCATTTAGGTATATAGTGACCAAATGCCTACAGAAGTAAGAGTAACTGCAATATTAGGAAGTGAGAGATAGATAGAACCTGAATCTACTAAAACGGTTCAGGTCAGAAGTGCATCTCACCTTGGTTGTTGCAGCTTACTGTGGTTTTCTTGTTTCGTGAAGCAGTCTAAAAGCAGATGACAGTTCCTTTAATGTGAAGCTGAATTGGAAGGGGTGTATGCAGTCTAGCTCCTAATGGATGTTCTGGATGTTTTCACTTTGAAATGAGAAGCATGCAGAGAAATTTTGTGTAGATGCCCAAATCCTCAGCTCCAACTCTTACATTGCAGAAGGACTCTCCTTTGATATACACTGCTTCCTGGTGTAGGCATGTTTCCTAGGGTGTCTCATTTGTGCAAATTAACTTATTTTTGACAAAGGTATCATGCAAAACAGTATGAGGCTTCTGATTATTGCTTAGCAAAATATGCGAGGGATGCTGTACTTATCTTCTTAGTGAGGAAGGGAACTGTAGGTCTTTTGCCAATTATGCTGTGGTAATCTTTAGATAGTACCTGTTTCTCTACCTCTTTTAATAAACCTCAGTATTCTTGTCATATTGTGCCCCTTTTTTGCCATTTTATTTCAAAAGCAGGAATGTTAAAGGAGATAGCTTGCCCTTTTAGTAGATGTAAGTCAAACTATGTTATTGAGACATTCACTGATGTAGGTTATCACTGAAATGGATGTGAGGCCATCACATGAAGTCTTTGGTGAATGGAGAAAGGGAACTGTTACTCCCGTATTCAAGGAAGTGAGAAAGGAAGACCCAGGAAGGTACAGGCCAGTGAATGTCATGTCTGTGCCTGGGAAGATCATGGAGCAGATCCTCTGAGATAGCCAGTGTGGCTTCACCAAGGGCATATCATACCTGACCAGTCTGGTGGCCTTCTATGAAGTGACAGCATTGGTAGATAAAAGAAGGGCAACTGATGTTGTCTATTTGGACTTGTGCAAGGCCTTTAACGCAGTCCCACACCACATCCTTATCTCTAAACTGGAGAGGTGTGGTTTTGAAGGCTGTACTGTTAGGTGGATAAAGAATTGGTTGGATGGTTGTAACCAGAGGGTTGTTGTCAGTTGCTGTATGACCAGGTGAAGGCCAGTCACAAGTGGTGTCCTCCAAGGGTCAGTCTTGGGACTAGTGCTCTTCAACATCTTTGTCAATGACATAGACAGTGGGATTGAGTGCACCTTCAGTAAGTCTGCTGATAACACTAAGCAGTTGACACAGTAGAAAGGAGGGACACCATCCACAGGGACCTGCACATGCTCCAAAAGTGGGCACACAATAATCTAGTGAGGTTTAACAAGGCCAAGTGCAAGGTATTGGCATTCGTTGAGAGCAGCCCTGCAGAGAAGGACTTGGGAGTCCTGATGAACAAAAAGCTGAACATGAGCCAGCAGTGTGTACCTGGAAGGCCAACTGAATTGTGGTCTTTATCAAAATAGGAGTAGCCAGCAAGGTGGGGGAGGTTATTATCCTCCTCAGTTCTGCCCTCTTGAGGCCCAGTCTGGAGTACTGTGGCCCCCACTACAAGAAGGAAGCTGGAGAGGGTCCAGAGAAGGGCTGCAAAGATGATCAAAGGGGTTGACCACCTCTCCTATGAAGAAAGGTAGAAGGAGTTAGGCTTGTTTAGCTTGGGGAAGAGAATGCTCTGGGGAGACCTTCAGTACATGAAGGGAACTAACTAACAAGCAGGAGCTGATTTTTTACATGGTCTGGATGAATAGGACAAGGGGAAATGTATGTAAACTAAAAGAGGGCAGATTCAGGTTAGATTTCAGGAAGAATTTTTTTACTCAGTGTGGTGAGAGATTGCAACAGTTTGCCCAGAGAGATTGTGACTGCCCCATCTGTGGAGGCATTCAAGACTGTAGAATGGGATCCTAGGCAGCCTGATCTAGTAGTTAGCAACCCTTCCCATGGTAGAGGGGTTGGAACTAGGTGATCTTTAAGGACTTCTCCAAACTAAGCCATTCTGTGATAAATGTATTTACTTGTTTTGGTAATTGCATTCTACCATATTCCTTTGCTGTTTTAATCAGATGTATAGATTTTATACTGCTGTATTCTATTCAGCAAAAGGTTTAATCATGCTGTAGCTATTTTATCAACTCTGACCTCCAAAGTAAAAGCTATGTAGAGGTAGTAAATAGCTTACTGAATAATAGACCTGACTGACTTTGGTAATTGAATAGCTCTCTAATGTGGAAAATACTTTCAGAAAAAAAATTATGTGCTATTTAAACTACTGTTTGTTTGTTTCTCTTTATTAGCTGCTGAAAATAGCTTCAGATGTTGAAGTGATTCTCAGAACTTCTGTTATTCAGGCAGTTCACACAGAATCCAACAAAATATGTGAGTAAAGCTGCATGCTTAAGGACGTTTTACATTTTTATTTTTTTAGTGGGAGCTATTAGAAAAGAAGCTCAAACTATCTTTAATGCCCTCAGGGTAGAAAAGAAGTTATACTTGGTATCCTAACCATTAGCTTGCATGTACTGGCTAACCAGTCTGTGTATGCATGAATGAATTAGCCACAATATCTGCAGGTTCTTGCTATAACATATAGGTAGAAGCCGCCTGAGAAGAATTAACAAATGCAATCTGTATGATGCCTGTCCAACAGCATTTTCTTTGAAATGCTGTTTCCTATCCAAAACCTTATTTTGACTGTTAAAGTTTCAGGTGGTGCCTTGGAATATTTACCACATGATGACAGCCTTGATGCAGAGCCTATCAGATTCTGAAATCTTGGCTCCTGGCTTGGAAATTTTCTTGTAAGAAGAGAAATAATAAGTTCATCTTGCAGCCTTGTGGTAGGATATAGAAGAAATCTTCAGCTGCATACATGATTTCCTTTCACTTCTGCTTAATGGAGTCTTAGTGTAGATCTTCATATATACTTTCAAGTTTGGGGTTTGGTAAAGCATTTAACATTAGAACAGCCATAATGATTGAGGCCAGAGATTTGTCTAGACCGTACTGGCTGTGAATCTCTATTGCGTAGAAATTGTAGGCAGATGACAGTAGTAGAGTAGGAACAGAGGAAATGTGCTTTGCTTTCTTCCATCTGTTTACACGTGGCACTTCCTGAGCCAGGAGTAGTTTCTATTTTAGTTATTCTCAATGAATTTCTCTTGTGTTTCCTCCTGTCATCCACTCAAATTTCTTGCGTTCAAGTGCTTTTGACAGAGAATTTAGTATGTTTTATCAAAAAATAATTTGCTGTGGTCTTGCTTATCAGTTGCCATCCATTTTTGCCAAGCTGCTCTTGAGTTTTTAAGACCTTTGTTGCCTCTGTTTTGTTTTCTTCATCTATGGTAAAGCTTCCCTGTAAAACAGCAGCTGAACAGCTGTGATCATTCTGTTGCTTTGTTCTGTGCTGTTGTCAGTTCTTCTATATGTCTTTTCAGATGAGGGCATCAGAGCTAAGTGGAGTCATCAGACTTTGGGAAAACCAGGAGTTTTTGGCTGCTGTATGCATACATGTATTTATTTTTACAAACTTACCTTGTATTCATTTAAATCATTTAGATAATCATAGTAATTAAAGCAATTTTAAAAAGAGATTAAATTAAAAAAAAATAAAAAATTAAAAGAGGAGAGGAAAAGGAGAAGCTAAGCAAAATATGTTACAGAAGCTTATTGCTGCAGAATTGTTCTTAAGTGAGTTACTGTCAGAATCTTTAGTACATTTTTTTTTCTATTTTAGCTGACAACATATGATTTAGTTTCATCTGCTGTTGTTAATTCTCTGCAGTCCTGCCTCTCAGCCTTAGACAGTGAGAAGAAATATTGGTATGGAGACCTTTTTTCCTAATCAAATGAAATTATTCTATGTTGTCTTAACTCTAGAACCAGTGCACAGGGCCATATTATTCTTTATAAAGAGAATTTGGGACTACTGTGTATAGTAATGTTTGGATTCACCAGTAAATTAGTTTAGAAAAGAAAGTTAGACTGAGCTTTCCTTACTAAAGAGAAAACATTTTCATTTTGGAGTTTGTTAGTCACAGTAAACATTTTTCTTATACTTTTTTTTTGTAGATTCTATATGAGTTAGGTTACTGAGCAGCATACAGATGTCTCTTATTTTATTCATTTCCCTTTTCTTTCAAATTAAACTTGTGCAAGTAAAACTTAAACTTTAGTAGTGCTCTATACGCACAGTATGCTTTGATTGTTTTGATTTGCTGTATGTATGGGTATGTTCAAAACTTAGCTTCTTGAACAAAGGTTTAAAAGTTCTTTCATCTTTATCTGTTTGTACTGGTATTTTTCAATATTTTGAAATTTTTGTAAATTCTGTCTTTTGCATTTCTATTTCATGTGTCTGTTCAAAGTGAGTATATCAATGTGACTTGTCATAAGCTTAATTATCAGTTTTTTCTCTATAAGAGAAAGGGAATTGAAATTTTATTTCAAGATCTTAGAAACTTATTAAATGCATTGCTGTCAGTCCACAGAGGCAGAAAAAACATAACGTCAGGGAAATCAGTTTTCCTTCTTATGGCTTGTGGGATATCAGTGTACTCTGGACCAAATGTTTGTTTTTACGCTTACAGATACACACACACATTTGTGGGTTTGATATAATTTTAGAAGCTGTCTGACTTGGTCCAAGTGTTTAGTAAGTGCTTTATTTTGTACTGCTTGAGCAAATCTGATGTGACACAGCTCTTTCCCCGCATGGGGAGGGGGCAGGTTGATTTCAGAGGAGCTAGATGCAAGAATTTAGTAAGGAGTGGGTTAAAGTGATACGTAATTAGGCAAACCCCAGTTTTATGCAGTTCTGTGAGGATATGGCGGTCAAAATTTTCAATTGATGCTTTCTTTTTCTGTTGGCATTTAAAGCATGTAAGAAGATGAATATTTTACAGATTAGATTTCAGGAGGCTGGAGTGGAAGGCTATGCCAAATTTAATATTAGTTTTGGGAACTGTTGAAGTAAACAATCTGGCTCAGGACTTACTGATTGACTGAACTTACTGTTCTCTCTCGTGCTAAATGTTATTGCAATTCTTTGCCATTTTTTTAATGAATTACTAATACTATTAAAATATCTTCAGTGTTCTTAAAAGCAAAAAGGTCAAAAATATTCTTCCAACAGAAGGTAAAATCATAAAATCAATATGATGTTGTACTATGTTAGTAACATGCTGCTGCTTGTTTGCTTACCATATTCTTGCAAGATTCTTGCTTGACTAACCTGATTTTCTGTTTTTAAATGTAAAAACAATTTTATCATTTTAAGTAGTATTTGCCATAAGGTGATACTCTTAACAGTTTTTTTTTTTTTTTCTTTTACAGTGCTCTTACCCAGGAAGGATCTGCTACAAGACAATATTCCTTACTTTGATAAACCAACAAAAAAGCATGAATCCTGAGAAGAGTGTGCCCTTCTTCACAGTAGTAAAACCTGGTAATGAGAACTCTGAAAAACAGTAGTGTGTATCTATCTTAATTGTTTTCCAAATTTTAATTTAATGCCAAGAAAATGTGGACTGAAACCAGTTTTGTTTGTTATGATATCACCATGGACTTCTTTTGAGGAAGATGGTACTATTTCCACAGAAACTTGAGAGACACGATTTCCTTGAAAAAGAAAGTGTATAAATATATGTACTGCTGAACTTCAGAGAGGAGTATCAGATATAGATTGTTTCCTAGCAGTCTAGAATTTTGACAAACTAAATGCAAGTGAATTGTAGCTCTTAATCTTGATAACATTACATTATATACTGCTTTGAAATAACTGAAAACCATGTTGTAAAACTTACCATTAAATTTATGCTTCACATCAGAAAGCTTGAATTCTTAAGTTATTAACTCTACACTAAAATACTGTAGTGTTTGAGAAAGTTCTTAAGACTTGTCTGAATAAATTATTCAGGTATTACAGAAAGGCAAGAGTGTGCAGTGTTTGTATTCTCTCTCACACCTTTGAATGGAGCAGGATTGGCAGGGTTTGAGTTCGTGAATGACAATGAGACAAGAAAACCGAAGGATATTGTTTTAGATCACAGGGCTTATTAATTTTTTTTTTTTTTAATCTTGTGACTATGTTGAGGCATTTTCCAAAGAAAAGAGCCTTGTTTCTTAGTTGCAGTGGTTCTGATTTCTTGAGGCTGAGTTTATGGTGAGTTTTACTAAGCCATTATCACTTCCTTTTTTTTTTTTTTTTTCTTTTTTAAGGAAACTCATTGGCTTCTCACTGAATTTATCATACCATACCATTTTGTTCATTTCCATTTTAATTGGAGCCTAACTGCAGTGATACGTACAAAGAATCTTCTGATAAATCAATACCAGGCGTCATGCTAGGATCTAAGCATGTAGTACCATGGAAGAAGGATTCCATTTCAGGTCCAAATGACCTTCTTTATTTTTATTAAGCACTAAAATATTTGTGGCTCGTGTGTTATCTGATATTGGCTGTGACTGTGTAAAACAAAAAACTAGTGCTTGAATCCAGTCTTCTTCTCACTGGTTGAGACAGCAGGCAAATTTTAAAACTGTTACCTCCAGCTGCTATGAGCAGGGTAGCCAGCAATAAATAGTTTGTGTAGCAGAAATGTTAAGTCATGGCTTGAAACCTGGGAGGAAGGCAAGGCCAACCCAGAGGAGCTCAGGTGTATGCAATGCAGGATTAACTCCTTCCCAGACCTTATTTAAGGGTTGGCAGTGGAGGCAAGGGTATCCCTCTGGAGACCCCTGCATACCTGAGGCTTTATGAAGGTAACCAGATGAGATTTAACAAAAGCAAGTGTAGAGTCTTGCATCTAGAGAGGAATAATTGCATGCACCAGTACAGGTTGGGGGATGACCTGCTGGAGAGGAGCTCTGCAGAGAGGCACCTGGGTGTCCTGGTGGATGACAGGTTGGCCATGAGCCAGCAGTGTGCACTTGTGGCCAAAAAGGCCAATGGCATTCTGGGGTGCATTAAAAAGAGCGTGGCCAGCAGGTCGAGGGAGGTGATCCTCCCCCTCTACTCTGCCCTGGTAAGGCCTCATCTGGAGTACTGTGTCCAGTTCTGGGCTCCCCTGTACTAAAAAGACAGGGATCGCTTGGAAGGAGTCCAGCAGAGGGCCACAAAGATGGTGAAGGGCCTGGAGCATCTCCCCTATGAAGAAAGGCTAAGTGAACTGGGTCTGTTTAGCCTTGAGAAGAGAAGACTGAGAGGAGACCTGATCCAGGTCTATAAATATCTAAGATGTGGGGCCAGAGTGGTGAGGCCAGACTTTTCAGCAGTGTGCGGAGACAGGACAAGGGGAAATGGCCAGAAACTGAAGCATAGAAGTTCCACACAAATGTGCACCAGAACTTCTTTATGGTAAGGATGACGGAGCACTGGAACAGGCTGCCCAGGGAGGTTGTGGAGTCTCCTTCTCTGGAGATATTCAAGACTTGCCTGGACACCTACTTGCGACCTGGTGTAGGGAACCTGCTTTGGCAGGGGGGTTGGACTCAGTGATCTCTGGAGGACCCTTCCAACCCCTATGACTCTGTGATTCTGTGTGATTCTGTAAGCAGCTTCTTTCCCTTTTTAATGTGCCCACTACTGTCACATTTGAGTGAACCCTTGATGGCCATAGCCTGGTATCTTGCTGTCATTGTTGCGCTTTCCATCACGTTACATTCAGTAACTTTATTTCTGTTTCATTGGTATTTCCTGCCAACACAACTAGAAGTTAGCAAGCAAGTGATCAGAAGCAGAATGAAATGCTTGCAGTTCTTGCTGTTTTGTTGTGGTCTGTATGCTCTACGACAAAACGAATATCTTGGTCTGGAGCAGATGTATTGTTTTAAGCCTTTTGTGTCAGTCACTTCCCAAAGAAGTGTGTTATTCTTCTGGTTTTCCATCCGTTTGCACCTTGCCTTTTTTTCTTAAAGAGCTTAAAAGAGGGGTAGGCCAGGGTGAGAGAACAGGGGGTGGTTGTATCTATAAAGAGAAAACAACAAAATAGAATATGACCTTATGCAAAGTGACAAATTTTTAGCAGAAATTGCTTAGTAGTGGACTGGCAAGAATGACAAATTGCACAGCCTTTAAGTTGTAGGTCACCTGGCATACTGGAATTATGAGTCAATTCATTTCCTGTATTGTCACAGCTTCTGGCTATAGGAAAGTGTATTAATGATATTTAAATTGATTTCATAAAATTGTGAGGTTTGGGAGGTCTTTACTCTTTCAGTGGTTATGTAAAATTATGTTATCCATTACTGTGCATAATATGTACTGAAAAAATGAATGATACTTAACAGTAGGTGGCACTGTTTTGGCACAATGTTTGAAGAAACTGCAAGCAGAGAAACTATTTGCATGTGACTATATTTAGTGTTGTTGTGCTGCTTTGTGTTTATTAGCTTTTTGTCTTATGTATGAATAGAATTGCAAACTTACAGATTCAAAATTGGAATTTGACAGCCAGCTGTGTTTCATTTTGCATACATCTTGAATACTCAAGAAAAATATGGAGTTAGTTACTGGAATAACATATAGAACTGCTGAAAAATAAAGGATATGCTCAGAAAATTCAATGGCTGCAGGAACATTCTCCTTACACTCCTATACAGCATGCCTATGGTTCTGCATACTAACATTCCATGTTTCTGCTGCCTTTGTGCATTCCAGGGCAGCAGAGATGAAGAGTTTCAAGTGCTGAGATGAGAAAAATCAAATTGTTAGACAAAATGCTATTAAAGGAAAAGATTAAGAGGACTATTGTTCTTGTTTCACTGTTTTCAAATAGGAATCTGGTGAATATCCAGATATGGGATAAAGAATTGAGCCTGAAAGTACTTCAAAATTACACTCACTATTTGGCACAGCAGTTATTTTCTTTCTGCTAACTTATCCATCAGCGTGAAAAGACTCTCATAAACCTGCTTAGTGAGCAGCTGTTTCCTCTTCCTCTGATTCCTTGCTTACCTATTGATTCATATTCCAGTACCCAATTCTGTCCTCCAGCTTCCATTACCATTTGCTTTCACTGTAAGTATTATTCTGTTTTTGATACTTACTACTGGCTTTGTGCTTTTGTATATTTTTCTTTTCCTTAAGAATTAAACGTTAACTGAAATTTGGCTTAAAACATTACAGGGCAATTCACTCATTGGTTTGGAGGATTAATTGTACTCAGGAAAAACTGTAATTTGATAGGCTCCTGATAATGTGATTTAGTCATACTGTGTCAGATATATCTTCATTAGTGACATAGACGATGGCATCAAGTGCACCCTCAGCAAGTTTGTGGATGACACCAAGCTGAGTGGTGCAGTTGATACATGGGAGGGAAGGGAAGTCATCCAGAGGGATCTGGACAGGCTGGAGAAGTGGTCCTGTGAAAACCTAATGAGGTTCAATAAGGCCAAGTGCAGGGTGCTGCACTTAGGTCAGGGCAATCCCAGGTATTTATACAAACTGGCGGAAGATCTCCTTAAGAGCAGCCCTGCAGAAAAGGCCTTGGGGTCCTGGTAACGAGAAACCAGACATGAGCCAGCAGTGTGTGCTTGCAGCCAGAAGGCCAACTGAGTTCTGGGCTCTATTAAAAAGGGGTGGCCAGCAGGGAGAGGGAGGTGATTGTCCCCCTCTACTCAGTTCTTGTGAGGCCCCATCTGGAGTAATGCATCCAGGCCTGGGACCCCCAGTACAGGAAGGACATGGAGCTCTTGGAGTGGGCCCAGAGGAAGGCCACTAAGATGATCAGAGGGCTGGAGCACCTCTCCTGTGAGGAAAGGTTGAGGAAACTGGGTCTGTTAAGCATGGAAAAGAGAAGGCTCTGGGGAGACCTCATTACGGCCTTCCCCAATGTTTCCTCTTCCTCTGATTCCTTGCTTACCTGTTGATTCTTCCAATACTTGAAGAGGGCATATAAACAGGAGGGGGAATGGCTGTTTACAAAGATGGATAGTGATAGGACAAGGGGGAATGGTTTTATACTAAGATGGGAGGTTTAGGTTAGATATTAGGAGGAAGTTTTTCACTCAGAAGGTGGTGACACAATGAAACAGATTGCCCAAGGAGGCTGTGGATGCCCCATCCCTGGAGACATTTCAAGGCCAGGCTGGATGTGGCTCTGGGCAGCCTGGTCTGGTGATGGTGACCCTGCACATAGCAGGGGGGTTGAAACTAGATGATCATTGTGGTCCTTTTCAACCCAGGCCATTCTATGATATTTGGAAATGCAAAATTTCAGAGCAGACATATGTGCCTTTTGTGCTGGGATGTGCATCTATCACCCTCAAAAGATAAAGCTTAATGGTAGTATTTTTTTTAAGCCAAGTAGAAAGAGACAGAAAGAGATTTTTTTAAAAAAAAAATCCATATGGATTTATTGCAGGCAGGGAATTCTGTTGAAAAGGTCTAATAGCTTGTTCAGATGTCTTACAGTTCAGCTGGGATAGCAACAAGATTGGTATGGTTTAACCAATTGGGTGTTATCTGTCTCTGCTGACAACTGGCAGGAGAATATCAGCGGTGCTACATAGTAGTAGGCTTGCATAGTTTAAAGGCTAGTTTCTGATCTACATAAGGTATGCACATGCTTAGTTAGAATTTAGTAGAAGAACTGTCATTTCAATGATTGCATTTAAGAAAATTTTTAGCATATCAGCTTTTGACATCATCTACTAGAGAGACATCTGTTAGAGACTTCAGGCCTGGCATTCTTCTTGAAGTCTTTATGTGCACTACAGCTTTAAGGAAGTCATTAAAATACAGTAAAGCTGTATTTCCTGTTTAAATATTAAGATATTTTATTGTTCCACCACTTTTCCCTTCTTTTTTAATAGTTTTAAAATACGAGGTTTCTTAACTTCTTTCTGCAAGCAGTAGCTCAGGATAGGGACCAAACATAGTCTTAGTATGTTTGCTGAAAACTTGAGTTAATAAAACACAGTGAGATTTTATCTGTGAACTGCATGGTAGGATTTGAGCTCAAGTCTTTACAGCCTTCAAGTGAAGGTGGCTGTGCAAACTTAGCACCAAATTAAGCCATTCCTGTACACCTTGGTAAAGGAAATGTTTAGCTGCTATATAGCTACTGTTGTATGATACAGGTTGATTCCACAAAGAGTTTATCTAGAAGTAGTGCGAAGAGTGTAATCCAGAAAAATGGCTTGCACTTTCCCTGATGTGATGAGCTCTTGGAGCATTTTTTCAGGTTACATAGGATCAACAAACCTATGACATCTTCAGTGACTAAATCTAGCGTTCGTATTTTTTAGATGTCAATGCTAGTTGAAGGTGCTGGGCTAGATAGAGTGGTGCATGGCATCACCTATCCTGTTGGTATTGTTCTGAACCTGTAAATAAAGTAATTGAGCTTCAAGTACTGGCAGTTCTTTACACTTCCTTTACAAAAGAGGAAAAAAAATACTGCCAATAAAAAACGGGAAGTTAAGGCTGACCAACTTACCGGAAGAACTGACTCCCTGTACTTCCCTACCCTAGGTAACTTTTTCCAACCTGCTTGCAACAATGCATCCTGAAGCCCTGAAGTTCAGTGGGCAATCAAACTTAGGTTGTCAGCTTTGCTGGAAATTGTACAAAGCACAAGTTACAGTGTGAATTCAGCACTAAGGCTGGTGTTTTACAGCTGCAATGTTCTGATATTTTGATAACTGTAGTAGAAATTCAGTGATATTTGAGGGTAAGTATACATTACTAGTATAGGGTATTATAAATCTGTGAAGTGGGCATCTAGATCTTTTGAATTCTGTTGGAAGACCGTGCTATAGAAGCTTTTATGAAAGTCTTCTTAAGGTTTTTTTTTTATTATTCTTTTGGCTGTTTTCTTCAGGAAAAGTAAATCTGGGGGGAGGAAAAGGGAGGAAGGACAGATCTTCATACTTTCATAATTTTTTTTTTTTTTTAACCAAATATTTCCATTTAGTTGGCATTTTGATAATCTGGTTTGTGTCATACCACAGCATCTAGTTTCCACTTTCCACTTTCATTTTTCTCACAGTATAAACAACAGCTTTCCATTTAACCTACCCAAAAGACTACAGTTTGAGCCCAGGATTAGTCAAGATTAAATAAACAGCCTGTGAAACTAATGTCTGTAGGAGCTGGGAGGAAAGATGGCGTTCTTTACATTGAGCTATTAAAATGGGAACAGTTCTGGTGTTACATCTGCTACTATAGTAGTTGCAGCCCATTTCTCTGAAGTCAGCAGTTTTATGCAAAGGTTGATTCAGCATGAACTGAGACTGTGGAAAAACAAGTGATTTTAAGAAGGTACATGTTTCCTTTTTGCAGTTAGCTGTCTCTATGTCACAACATGAAGAGCATGTGTTTCAGGAATTAACATCCATTCCTTTGGATGTACTTCCAAATTTCATAGCTTTCTGCCATGGTTTGTACGTTATATTATAGTGGAACATCAGGGAAGAAATTTCCTTCATTAAAGCATAGTACTAACAAAGGGTAAAGAAGAAATTCTTTGGGAAAGGAAATTGCCTGCAATGTGAAAAAACCTGTCTGATTTTTTTTTTTTTTTTTTCTGGTCAGAGGCATTTAATTAGGTGTGTAGCTTTCTCAGTAAATATTCTCTGCACATGGATCTTAGCTGTGGAAATAAAAGCAGACAAATGGTCTCTGTAAACTCTGCTGAGCTGCACATTATAAGCTGGGGGAAGGGCTGGCTCCTGTCAAAGCAGTAAATGAAATACAAATGGAATGAGCATGTGAATGAGGATGAGAGAATTAAAACTCATAGAAGGATGAGCAAATTGAATGAAAGAATACTAAGAACGGTTTTTGCACTTCTGAAACAAAGATGTTGATATACTAAGTGGTTCTTAAAGCAATTTTGCACTATAAATTGTCCTATTTTCATTTTTTAATTCTAGTCTGCAATGCAGGCTGAAGGTGAAAGGAGGATGTTATACCTGGACTGAAGAGATTGAGCAAATGAATAGAGAAATAGTAAAGGCAAATAATTTGTTTAATTTGCACTTAACTATATTTCGATGCAGACATAGTTAGGGCTTTGTTTGACCAGAAGGTAACTTCTTTGAATGGAAAGATTGAGTGTCAATCATCTGTTTTGCATCAATTTTTCTGTATAGTTTTGTCAGAGTCTTGGCTTTATCATGTGTTCAGTGGAACTTGGAGAAATAGCTGCTATGATGTTAGAAGTTTCTGTCTTTATTTGAATTCCATGTAGAGAATAAAGAAAAGGAATGTTTCCTACAAGGGAATTGTAAAAATCCTAAATATCGTGAGGAGGATCATACAAGAACTTTTCTGGTTACAGTGTAAATCTGCAAACATTGTGTGATAAACTTACTACTTCTCACAATTCTGTCAAAAGATGGAATTAAATAGATCTGAAGTGTGCAAGGTAGGAAAAATTGAAACATGACATCTTAATCTGGGATTGACACTATAACAATACTTTCTTAAAAAGGGAATAAAGACTGTAGGAATTGAGGTTCATTTTGGATTGTCTCATATATGCTTATAGAAATCATGCAGAAAGGCTTCAGGCAGGCAGAGCTGTATCAGGTGCACTCCTCGCTGCTGTTTTGCTTTAGCTACTGCATAAAAAGACAGCTTAAGAGACTTGTGACTCTAAGGACAAATAAGGACAAAAGACCTGGAATAGAGTTGTAAGGGGTGCATTATCTGGCTTTCTCAGAGTGGAAGCTTACATTATGATGCACCAGTTACATCAAATGATGGATCAGAAGTGACAGCATGCAGTTCAGCATCATTCCCAATCCTCTGAAATTGATTTGTAGTTTGCAGTTCTGCTTTAAAGTGAATTAAAATTCTTTTTTCCCACCATTTTTAACTGTATTTCAGTGAATGCTGAAGTAAGTACCAAAGGTGGAGAAATAGAAAAATAAAATATTCCAAGTGGGAAGGGACCTATGAGAATCATTAAGTCCAACTCCTGGCTTTACACAGGACCACCCAAAATTTAAACCCTATGCCTGAGAGCATTGTCTAAAAACTCACTCCCTGAACTCTGGCACGTGGGGCTGTGCCCACTGCACTCTAGTGCAGAATCTGTCCCTAATCTCTGGCTGCCCCTCCCCTGACACAGCTCCATGCCATTTCCAAGCTCTGTCACAGAAAGCAGAGCTCAGCACTGCCCCTTTTCTCCTTGTGAGGAGCTGCAGCTGCCAAGAGGCCTCCCCTCAGCTCTGGGCTGAACACACCCAGAGATCTCAGTTGCTCCTCAAACATCTTGCCCTCCATACCCTTCGTTATTCATCATAGCCCTCCTTTTGATGCTGTCTTAATAGTTTTGCATCCTTACATTGTGGCACTCAAACCTGTACCCAATGCTCAATGTGAGGCTACATAGAAGGATGACTTGCTTAGCTGATAGTTCAGAGCCTGATGACCCCAGAGTACAGCTGACCCTTTTGGCTGCCTGGGAGCACTGCTGGTTTTTACTTAGCGCAGCACCAACAAAAACCCTCAGATGCCTTTCTGCAAGGCTGCAGTCCAGCCATTTGTCCCCCATCCTATACATCCATCTAGGATTACACCTCCTGGATACAGAATCTGGCTGGTACATGTATTCCATCTTCATTTCAGGGCAGTAGAACCCAAATTTGAATGGAATAAGGGTTGTAAAAAAGGGGGGAGAAAGTCCCTTGGGGGGAGGGGGGGGAGAGGGGGCAAAAGAGTACAGAGCTTGAATTTATTTATAATTTTTTAAAATAAAAATTTTCAAGCAGATGTAGTTGCATGCTACCTCCTGCAGCATTCTAGCAGGGTCAGAAGCAATGCTGGTGCACAGCACTGGGGCCACTCTCAATGTAGATATCCCGTGGAAGCCATGAGTCCTGGAAGGCATCAAGGGAAGCAGCAATGGAACCTCCTAGCCAGGCAGCAACATGGCGGCTGGGGGCAGCAGCAGGATGCCCGCTGCCCAGGCCCTGAGCCACACGCTGAGCAAAGCCACACAGCAGTGTGGTGCCTCCAGCCAGCAGCAGTGGGGGGTTGCCAGATTGGGCTCCACTGAGGTGCAGGGAACAGGCTGCCATCTCTAGTAGTCCCGGGCCTGACAGCCCCACGGCCTCAGGGGTGAAGAGGGCCTCAGCACAGAGGGAGTACTCATCCTGAAGGAGTGGCCCCATGGGCTTGGAGTGGGTACCAGGTGGGTGGCAACAGCAGCGTGTCTCCTTCAGGTGCTGGAGTGTCTCTGCTGGCAATTGCACTCTGTGGGCTGCCAGCATCTGGCCCAGGTAGACAGTGAGATCGTTCCCAGCCAAGTCCAGGCGGAAGGAGGCATGGGGCAGCACGTAGCCATCCTGTACTGCCACCGCATAAGATGTGCCGGCGCCAGAGCCCAGCACCACACCAGTGGTACAGCCATAGGAGTAGGCAACGAGCACAGAGCGGGGCATCACAAGCATGGCTGGCACACCAAAGCGCTCAAAGAGGAGCTCGGCCACCTTCTCACGGTTGATGATAGGAGACAGTGGGGCATCAGTGGCCAGCACAGCCAGCTCCTCGGGGCACACAGCCAGATCGTGGTAGAATATGTGATACCACAGTTCTTCCAGCCTGTCCCAGTCAGTGACCACACCATGAGTGACAATGGAGCCATCCTTGCCCTGGCTGGGCACCACTGATCGTGGCCTCTCATCCCCGGCCAGCCCGCTCCTGGTGTGGCCCATCCCTGTGTCAATGACAACAGGGCAAAGATCCTTGTACTTTGCTGCTAAACTGGAGATCATCAAACGTCTGAGGCTGGCTCACTGCAGAGTGGATTGTCAGTTGCCAGAGTGCCTGCCTGCATCACAGTTGGAGGGAGGTGACATCACTGATGGCATCAGAGAATAGAGAAGGGCAAGAAGGAAGACAGTGATAACTGCAAGCCTTTCAGTCTACTTCAGTGCCTGGTAAAATTATGGAGAAAATTATGATGGGAGTTACAGAAAACACCTGAAGGAAAATGTGGTCATTTCTTGTAGTCAACATGGGTTCATGAGGGGAAAGTCCTGTTTAAGTAACTTAATTCCCTTTTATGACAAGGTCACCCAACTATTTGATCAAGGGAATTCAATTGATGTTATCTTTTAGAACTCAGTAAAGCTTTCGATACTGTTTCTCACAGTATCCTTCTAGACAAAATGTCTAGTATATGGCTAGACAAAAACATAATGCAGTGAGTGAACAACTGGCTGATGGGTCAAGCCCACGGTTTATAGCAAATAGGATAACATCAGGCTGGCAACCAGTCACTAACAGGGTACCCCAGATTCCATTCTCTTTGGTGCTTTCTTAAATGAACTGGATGAGAACTAGAAGGTGGATTTTGCACCCTGGGAGGGGCAACCCTGGCTGTACATACAGACTGGGAGATGAGATGACTGCTGTGGAGCAGCCCTACTGAAAGAGGTCTTCATCAATAGTAAACTGAACGTGAGTCAACAGTGTGCCTAGGCAGCAAGCAAGGCAAACCGTACCCTAGAGTGCATCAGGTCTAGCACTGTCAGCCAGACAAGGCAAGGGACTGTCCTGCTCTACACTGCACTGATGCAGCCTCATCTTGAGTACTGTGTGCAGTTTTTGGCACCACAATACAAAAAATGACATAAAACTATTAAGAGAGTGCAGAAAGGAAGACTGCAGAGGTGTTTAAGGGTCTGGAAGGGAAGACACTAAGCAGTTTATCTCTGTTCACTGTAGCTAACTAAGCTTGTATAAAATGTAATTTTTTCATGCTTAGTCTCTCTTCATGCCTGAGACACCTTTGGAAAGAAAGGAATTCATGGTCTCATAAAAGTTGTAGTTGGAATAACTGTCAGAAGTCAAATCATAAATCACTGTTAGCAGGAAGGCATACTTGATGCAAATGAATTACATGGGCAGAGAGCTGAAATAAGCCAATTGAAGATATTAACAGAAACCTCCATAAATAGAAGTTGTTGGAAATAAACACCGACAAAATAAAACTTAAATAGATTATTAAAAAATGAAATACATAATTCTGATGAATTATACATGATTTTTTTTCTCTTTCTTACTTACCTCCTTCTTCCTTACCTCCTTTCCCCACCATCAAGCACCTCGGTAAGCCCTACATTGTGTGGTGGATATGCCTTAAGTTCCCAGCAGGCATCTTTACAGAAGGACAGAGTGTTGCACTACCGAATGTTGTGTCCCTGTGTTTTTGGTGTCTATTTTAGTAGTGGAACTAGGTTTGTACCCTTGACCTTCCCTTCAGTGTCTCAGATGTGTTAATAAAGGACATCATTAGTTGGTATGGAGCTGTGTAAGCAAGAAACAGGAAAAAACAAGTTTCAGGATTTGTCTGCTCCTTTTAGGTGGTGGTTTTCAGTTTTTTATTGGGCTTCTAAAGAACTATCTGGCTTTCTGTCATGGTTTTATGATGTTTGGTTATCAGTATTCCACATCATAACATCATGTAGTGCACTGGGAGTTGAAGAGTTAATGCTCCAGGTCTGGATACCTGTCCTGGAAAAGAACTACTGCATGCCCCAGAGGACTGCTTGCTGTTCTGTTATCATTTCCACTCAGGGGAAAAAGGTGAAATGCCTTCGTAGGTCACCTGATGGCTCTTTTGATCATCTGGCTTGTCTCTGTTGTGGGTGCCATCTCGTCACAGCATTAGAGTAAAGCCTTTGGTTTTCAGACACTCTCATAATATTTGATTTATTTGCTTCAATTCTGATTATACTGTATTATATTGTATTATAGTGTGTTATCTTGAATGCCATTATCTTATTTAGTAAATTAGTGTGTTTCTCCTCAGGTTGTTGCCACTGTTCTGTCTTTAGGCCCATCTCTCTACACTTTTCCCTTTTTTTTCCCCCTTTCTTCTCTTTCGTAGGTGTGGATCTATGGGTCCCTCCACCATGCTAGTCATGGAACCAGGCCAAACTAGCCTGTAAACAGTTGACATTCTTGGTGGAGAATGCCTTGACACTTTCCTAGCCCCTTGTTATAAAACTCCTAATGCAGATCAACATTCTTTTTTATTTTAAAAGTTAGCCACATTTAAAAGGACTTATTTATTTAACCAAATGTTATCAACTACTGTTACAGCACTGTGGTATAAAACAGCACTGAAACTCATTCTTTACTTGTGTAGAAATCTTCGTGTAGAAAGTTTTGTGTAGAAAAGACTGGCAGTACTTTAGCAGAAAAACAGGAGCAGAAGGATCAGTAGAGGATGGCTCTTGTGAAAGAGGTTCAGGAAGGAAAGTGAAAGAAAAGTAACAAGTGAGTCAAGTGAGACTCAGTGGGACAAGAATCTCTTCTTAGCATCAGTGCCCTCTCTTAATCATCAGCACTCCTCAAAACCTTCATGTGTTTTATGTCTCAAAACAATCTTCAAAGAGATAGCCAAAATGTATAAATAAAAGCATTCATTTTCAAGATGTATCAAAAATAAGCCTCCTCTCACACCATTCAGCTGAGCAGCACAGGCACCAAGCTGTGCTGACTCCCTTCAGAGCAGGGTTGCATCCATCCCTCCTGCCACACTGAGGTCACAGAACCCTGGTGAGTAATACCTGGCACTTGCAAGAACAGTTTGTGCTCCCTAGCTGCAAAGACACTTTGCAAAATGTCCATCAGTGAGCTTGGGAAGCATTACCATTTCTCATTTTACAGCTGGAGGAACAGATGCAGAAATGTTAAGCACTTTATCTGAGGTCTGAGAAGAAGTTGGTGGCAGGGCTCAGAAGCTAGTTCAATGAAGTCTAGATCTTAGGACTTTGAGCTAAGCGACACTTTATTCTGAATATGTCTCAGTATTCACATTTGCTTTTTTGTATAACAGGTATTTAATTTCAACTATATGGAAAGAGAAACAGTACAGAACATGAGAAAGCCAATTATATAAATAAGGCTAATTTCATCAAGAAAATAGGGGGTGTTTATTACTGAGAGGAATAGAATATTGAGTAAGCTGGGAGCGTGAATACTCTTAATTTTGACTTCTGCAAACAGATCTTGTTAGATTGGCAACTGACACAAGCAACCTTCTGCTGCATTTCCAGATACGGGTTTTGTCTGTTCAGGACTGTCTTCCTGCATTCATGTTTTAAATCATATAATTTTCTGAGAATAAAAGTAGCTTTGTTAAACTTAGACATTCAACAAACTATGTCAGATTGCTCAAGGCGGGAGAAGTATTTCTTCACATAATAAAAGTTCCTGAATACAGAACAGTTTAAGAGTTAAAACTTATATCCTGTCCTGAGGTTCCTCTTGTGTTCACCAGTTTTGCTCTGGATAAAATGAATGCTGTTGCTTACCCCATTTACTTTTTTTCTCACACTGAAATTTGTAACTACAGTAAAAACCTAAGTCTACATCTGAGTTCTTCCATCAGACTGAGATGCTGAACAACTTGGAGAAGTATCAGTATGTAATATTTTCTTATGCATGCACAGCTGGACAACAGTCTATGTCGTGAACTTTGTGAACAGCCTCACTGAAGGTAATCAAGATGCTTCCACACAGTGGGATATAAAGAAACAGTCTGCTTCACTAGTGAGTAGACTGCCATTTCTAGAGAATTCCACAGGCCACAGACTGGGTGAAGCTGCAGTCCTGAACTGTGAAGTCTCCTGAACTGTCAAGTCCTGTGGGCAGGAGCTAGCCCAGGGACACCTGCATGCCCTTGGCAAACAGCAGGAGGTGGAGGTGTGCAGCACATGCTGGCAGAGGCTGGCAGCTGGGAATAGCTCTGCACTTCCAAATGTGTCAAATTAAGGCAATGAGACAACTCCTCTGTGGGGGTTTGATATGGGTGTGTCTAAGATATTATCACAATAAAATATCACATTAAGGCCCTACTCAGTGTCATATTTTCAGGGGGGGGGGGGAAAAAAAGAAAGACAAATCCTACAGAACTTCCCGAGGTGCAAACATTAGCAACTTCGTATACCATCTTCCTGAGGATATTTCAGGCCTGAATCACTGACAAAGGAGTGCAAGTTGTCCGCCAGGCACTATATGCCTCTCAACTAATGAGTGCATCTGGCTTTTAATCCCTTCATGATACAAAGACACTCTTCACATCATCAAAGAATGTTTGTTCTGTTTAGTCCAGACAAGCATATGACAAGGAGATTCTCACTTGCTGGAACAGCGCACTGAAGAAGGGTCCCCTTCCTTCGTGCTGTCACTTAGCCGTGTCAGTAGCTTTCCTCTGCTCACTGCTGCAGTGTTGCAGTAGGTCTGTAACTGTTGGTGGTTGCTGACCTGACAGCAAAATAAGAGACAACTGGAAAAGATGTGGAGGACGGAACAGCAGCACAGTTTTCTGCTGCACTTTGCTACTCGCCTGAGGAGAAATTCTGAAGCTACACACACATTTTCTTCAGTATTTATTTTCTCCTGGGAAGTAGAAGCGTGAAATGAGAGAAAGTCAGCTTGCAGTATCAACAGCTTTCCAGTACTAGCATCTTGGGGCCATATCATGACAGTCATCTCTAAAGAGGCTTCAGGCATCTCTTTCCTGACAGCACCATTGACAATGACTAAAGAAAAGAAAGCAAATTACAGCAGAACCAATAGCACAAAAGGGAATAAAGAAGAATAATGCCATTATGCACTAGGGACTGAGCAATGCTGTAATAGAAGTTTGTGATTCTCCAAGCCTCATGAAACTGGTCTCTGCTACACATGCATGTATGCACAAAGATTTGATGTAAATCTTTGTCAACTCAGTAGACAATACAATAGTCAACCAGAACTTGAATGATCAGGGTCCAGCAATCTAATTTTTGAAGTGTATGGAAGGTTGTTCAAATTATATCTGCTGCTGTACATCAATGAATTCAGATGTCCTAATAACTTTTAGGGCACTTCTACATTTTGAGGTCTTTGTGTCACAATGAGTTTATCTGACATTCAAAGAAGAATACACAAATGCTTTTTTCTTATTGGCAGCTGAGAATTGAGCGTTTGTCTTCTCAAAAAGAGTCTGAGAAATTAAACAAATATCCTACATGCAGGGTGGGATAGTAAGCATTCTCAGTATAGGTTGGGAAGAAAGCAGTCCTGAAGTCTGAGCCAAAGCTAGAAGTCACTTGCAAAATTTGATTATAAAGTTACATGTATAAATCTGTATTAGGGAATCCAGGGATGCTTGAAAGAGACAGAAAGCCTAACACCCTCCAGCCAAGTTTTGTACATGGGTTGCTGAAGTCTGGTGTAGGATGTGTTAACTCTGTATCGGAGATCTGAAATAGTTTAGAAGGACAGTCTCTTCTTGAACAAGCAGCATAGTGCAGCTGCAGCAGAGCAGTAGAACAAAATGCTCAGTGTTGAGGACTAATGACCGCAGTACATTGGAAGTTTTGAAAGTGTAATGTAAACATGAACTAAGTGATACAGAGGCAAAATGAGTAAAAGCAAAAAAAAAAAGAAATCTATCAGCAAACATGCTGCAGATTTTTTTAAATTTTTTATTATAGTTTTGCACAGAACTTCTGCAGACTGAGCAGTAGCAAAGGCAATTTCCAGTGCCAGATTGGGTTGAAACAAACAATTTTGATAAACTACAACAACAAAGCAACAGAAAAAGATTTGCCTTTCACTGGGAGGCTGGGATTTGTCAGAGTGGTACCACAGCCACCTAACCACTCACGGAACCACCCACACCTCACTTTGATTATTTTTAAGTTCAGCTTGCTCCTTCTTGCTCTTCAGTTTGACTGTGAGCTCTTCAAGCAGATTCTCTTTTTACATATATAAGAACTTTATTGTTTTGGTTAAATATGCCATAATGGGGCTTTTGGATGCTGACCAAGGCAAAAAGTAAACAGAAAAAAAACCAACAGTAGCCATGTTTAATATCATAAGATTTCATTACATTTTCTACTTGCTCCTGGTTTTTCATTGCTGTTGACCACCCTGG